TTGTAAATGATGTTGCTGTAAAATCTGCTGTTGTTGCTGCTGCTGTTCTGCGGCTGCTTTTTTAACATCTTGTACGTATTTCGTGATTTTTGTTGTTAAAGTGGCTTGATTTTGACTTTGAGTTGTTTGATTTGCTTGTAAGAATTGTTTAAACGATTGTTGGCCACTGGTTATACTATTGCTACTTATTTGCACAGGCACCGATGAGGTTGTGGTTGAAGTTAATGAATCTGTTTGTGTTTTTTGTTGCTGTTGTTCAGATTTCAATATAGAATCTCCTGGATGTTGTGTTTGTTGTAAAGAAAATAATTCAATATTTTGTTCAGAATGATCTTTATTCAAAGAAGACTGAGTGGGTGTCGGCTGTGGTTTGGAGACAAATGAAGTTTCCTTTGATATGAGAGCAGAAAGTTTTTGTTTGTCCGAATGCGAATGAGTTAAGTTGGTTTTAGTCGTAGAAATAATTAATGAAGGAGTATTCGTACTACTGCTACTACTACTAATGCTGCTATTTATTGGAGTTGTTGTTAATGAGTGTGGAGGTGTTGGTACGGGAGAGGCACCTTGTTGATTCGACGCTTTCATACTGTCATTTAATAGTTTCAACGATTGTGATGTATTGGTGGGAGGAGTTTGTGAAACCGATACCGGTGTCGTTGAAGATTCACTAGCAGGTACTGGTGGTATGACAGGTCTAGCCAATTGGGCTTCCAGAGAACTAACCAAACCCAAACTCGGTGCACGTACATTGATTACTTTACGTGCCGGTAAAACATTAGTTGAAGTCGTGGAAGCTGCACTTCCGCCAGAACGTGAATTGTTGTTGTTTTGATTTTGATTACTGGGAGCTGTATTGGAATTCTGTAACAATTGCTTGAGTAGAACATTATTGCTTTCCTCGGGTTTTGGCAGGTTGATTATCTGTTGCGGTGGTGGTGGATCAACATTTGAGTTTGTTTGAGTTGTTGTTGCCGATGTTGCATTTGCATGGTTGTATTGGGAAGAGTGTCCTTGATTTAGAGAAAACTTGGATGATGTTACTGCTGCACCAGTTGTTATTGACTCCGATGGATGATTTTCTGTGGTTGATGTGGTGTTGCTTGCATCATGCGATTGCGACTGTTGTTGCGTTTGTTGTTGGTTTAATAACAGCTGTTGCTGTTGTTGTTGCTGCTGCTGTTGTTGTTTTTGTAACTGTTGCATTTGTTGTTTATGCAATAGCTGTTGTCGGTGCTGATGCAACTGCTGTTGACGGGCGTTTTGCAACTGTTGTATGTGAATTTGTTGGGGATGATTTTGTTGCTGTTGTTGTATTTGCATATGAATTTGTTGCTGCTGCTGTTGTTGTGGTACGTGATTTTGGTGCTGCTGTTGTGCAGTTTGTTGTTGTTGCTGCTGTATTTGTAATTGTATATGTTGAGTTTGTTGTTGTGTCTGTTGAATCTGCTGCTGTTGTTGTTGCTGTTGCAGCTGTTGCTTTTGATGCTGTTCCAATATCTCTACCTTTTTCTTATCTTCATCTTCCTGTGGCGGTTTGGTTTTTGTAATCTTCACATAACTTCCATCACTACTGCTATACAAACCTGGCAAAACTTGAATTATTTTACGATTTTGCGTTATATGAGCAGTTTGTTGTTGTTGCGTTTGTGTTTGTTGTACATTTACTGTCCCCGATTCGTTGCCTCCGCCAGAATCCGTTGTTGTTGCAGTCCCACTAGACGTATCTGTATCATTTTGAGAATTAGCAGCGCCTGAGACTGACGTTGTTGTATTAACTACATTTGGCTGTATGTTGAGATTAAGACGTGTTCCACTAGTAATTTTGTTAGTTCCAGCTGCTGTTGTAACGCACAATGTATTTTTAGAGCCAGAGGTGGTGAACACTTGTTGGGAGGCTGAACTTTTGGCCAACATTAAGGAAATGTTCCGAGGAAAATTTGTAGTCATCGTATTGCCAAGGGAGGCGGCAACATTGGCCGCACTAACATTGGCAAATTGTGATTTGGTTAAAATAAGTTTCTGTTGTCCACTTACAGCGTCCGCCATGCTCAGGGATACAGTTGAAACATTTCCTGATGTGGTAACCAATTGAGGAGAATTTTGTCTTACTATACTGATCGTAGGGCATATGTTGATTCTCTGCTGTTGTGGCTGTTGCTGCTGCGGCTGTTGAGCATTGCCCTGCTCTAGATTTTCCATTTGTGTGGCTAATGTGGTACGAATATTTGAGGCATTTAGATGTTGTTGCGGCCCCGATGTGTGTACAACTTTTACGCTGGCTGGCAAGTATTCTGTGGCTATGATTGACGTATTGCTACTGGTGTCTCCGCTTGTATTTGTCTTTACCAGCTGTGGTGACTTTTCCAATATTTTTATCGTTGAATCGGCAGCAATTTTCGTTGAAACTTGTTCACTTGTACCCCCGCTGGCCGCATTTGCCGAAGAAGAGGAATCTTCTATATTGGCGGTAGACGTGGTTTTTATTATGGCGCCAGCGGGTATTTCTTTGACAAAACTTAGCTGCTGTTTCTTTTGGGGCGAAGGTAAAATATGTCCCTGTATTGTCTGCTGCTGTTGTTGTAAGTTATGCGGATCTGGTTTAGTAGAGGTAATCGTAACTACTCCAGATGTTTGCTGCAGCAATGTAGATTTATTCGTTTGTACAGCCTGTATTTGCAGTGGTATCTTTTTACTCATCACTTTGGCTTGAACAATTTTGGCCGTCGATACTGGTTTAATTTGCAATTTCGAAAAGGACACATACGTCGGTTGAGTGACTTTCTGGCCTCGTTTTATATTTAATATTTTACTCAGTTGAGTCTGTGACGTTGGATTGCCTCCAGTCTGAATGGTATGTATCACACTTTTTGTACCGTCAACAGAACCAGCTTGGCCGGAATTACCACTACCCGTTTGTATGACTTGGGTGGAGCTTAAAGGCTTTAATAAAGGCACTGATATGGTTGTATTGCCTATGGAAACTTTGGCAGTCGTTTGAGTTACCTCGGGTAATAACTTCTTGGACGAAACCATTAAGGATTGATTCTTAACCGCACCTTGTAGATTCTTTATATTAACAGACTCTCCCGTCTGACCGGCCACATTGCTAACGGAGCATACCCGACTATAAGTAAAAGTGTTCTGAGGATTTATGGTTGTGTTGGAAGCAGAGATAAGTATTTGTTCTGTTTTTTTATCGCCGCCGACCATGGATATTTTATTTCCGCCTTGGCCTTCGCTGGTTGTAATTAACTTCAAGTCAATGCTGTCCCCTAGTGATTTTTTTGCCTCCGCCATTCCAATTTGTAAACGCTTGGGAGGTGGCTTCGTGCTCATGGCAGTTATGTAGGAAGTGGCAGCATTACCACTGGGGTCACCTTCTATATGGATAATGCGCTCTTCCACGCAGCCCTCATTATTTAAATTTCCCGAAGATGTATCACTTTTATTGGTAACATGTTTGCGTATAAATAATAGTTCTTCACCACCGGCCGTTGTGGTCGTAAATGTTTTTCCACCGGATTCACAGCTTTCTTCACTCATGGTGCCCGTCGTTGTGGCGTCTTCTACTATTAATGAATACCCAGCCGCTGCTGCTGAGGATGGCGCTGTTGTTGTCGTCGACGCACTTGTTTCGTTTAATTTCATTCTTGACTTTAGTTTTTTACTATTCATTTCTGCTGCGGCAGCCGCAATAACATTATTGCTGGTTATTAGATGTGTGGCCTGCTGTACGGCAGGATTTGAAGCACCTGCAACATTAGTTAAAACACTCCCACTCTTTTCCAATTTCAGCTTTTTACTTTCATCATCGTGGCTTTCATTGGATGTTCGTTTCACTGTTTGTCCTGTTGTTATTTTAAATGTTGTAAATTTGTCAAAATCTGTTGTTGTGGGTTGATGTGACATTCTAAATGTTTTTCATCTGCTAAGTATTTATTGTTAATTTTTGTACAAAAAAAATTGAAAAGAAAATTATAAAAAAATTATAATTTTTCTGTTTTTTCTCTTCTCAACACAAAATCGTACGCCAAAGACCTGCGCCGATAAATATAAACGGCGGCAGCGGCGGCGTCTTACTATAAAAATTTCGTCGGCGGCTTAAAATCGCTTTAAGCCGGCTATGTTTTAAATGATATTAAAAATTATAAGTAACCCTCAAATGACTAAAATTAAAATATTTTTTTTAATTGAAATTAATATTCAGAAGAGCCCAATTGAAAATGATATTTCCCCATTTTCATATTAGTTTACTTTAAAAATAAATAATAAATCGATTTAAAAGCAGATTGTTCGTTTGGAATTCAGAAACGAAAATTGTAAATGTAATATTATTATTAATTCTTTTTAATTTTATATAAAACATAATTTGTATTATTCTAAATATCATATTCTAAGTCCGAAAAGGTAAAAGGGTTCAAAAGACGACTTTCGAGAAATGGAAATATCGAAGTCGAATATATGGCGTTTTGTTTTAACAATATCCTTGTTTATAAAAGCGTTTTATTAATCCACAATCATACAATCTACTACATATTTGTCTAAAAAACGAAAAGAAAGTGTAGAGTGCATTTTTCGGAATAGTCTGAACTATACCTATTTTTTACTAAAAAAAAATAGAATTTCCAAAAAATGCATCTCAACAATTTCAGCAATTTTACTGAGTATTACCGAAAATCCGTTTTTTATATTTATGTACTTAATACCAAACTTGTAAGCGGAATTATACCCGCAAAATCTGTCCCGGAAGAAATATACATGTTTGTGTGTCGAACTGAACAAAATTCTCTTGGCTGAGAAAAAATTCACATTTTAATGAAAAAGGTGTGCCAAGTTTGTTTAAAAATGTCAAAACTTGGTATCACTGTATGCATCAATGTGATGGAAATGAAGACAGTCGATAACAATTTTTAACGAATTCTTATTTAAACGAAACTATAGATCGATCATTATTATTGTATTGTTTTAAATTTATATTTTTCATTGAATTTATAATCGCCTTTTTGTTTTTTATTCAAAAATTCATTTCTCTTTATTTGGTTTCACTTAAATAAACGTTTACTCCAAAAAATTATTTATATATACGTTAAAATAAATTACAAATTGTTATTATTGGTTGTATTATGTGTTGGTTGGTTTTTTAACAGGATTTTAGTTTGGTAAAATTTACCATGGAATTGTGAGGCCTACAACAAACAAAAATGCTAAACTATTTAGTCTCCTTTAAGACGTTTTATGAATTCGACTTGTTGCATTTCTTTCCATTCTTTTTTAGGTTTCATACGTTTCAGTTGACCGTCCCAGACCAAATCGACCAGGCCACCCTGTTTGGCAATTACACTTTTAACACGATTCGCAAAATCGATGGCAGATTCACCCTGTTGTCGGTACATGGGCGGTAAATACCAAACATCACAGACAATGGCCCACGATGTCATCATCATGTAAAGATATTGAAGCATAGAATACTTGGAACTATTCCAGAAGGCATCACCGAAACGGGGATCATACCTAAAAAGATTATTTATAGTATTTAGAAGTTTAGATATTACATAAATTTAGTGACAGTGTTAAACTTACTTTATGGCAACTGGATAAATGACACCACCTACTTCGAAACTGCCTTTTTTGAACTGCATTACGGAAGTGTTGTTGATACAGGTTCCCTCGGGGAAGATAAGTATTGGCGGGTTGTTGGGATCTGATACGTGCTGTTTTAGACGTTCAGCCACAGCATGTCTGTCTTTGGCTTCACCTCTTTCGAACCAAATGTGGGGTGAGGCTCTGGCCAAGGCTCTTTGTAAAATACCCAAGAAACCACCATGACGTTGACCAATCTATTTATTTTGTATAGTTGATAAGGAAAGTTAATACATATAATACGAGTTTGAAAAGATTTTGATGTTTCCAAGAAAGTGTCTTAATTATAACTTCATGTCACAGAAATCTATTACATTCGAAAATGAAATCATTTCCTTTATTAAAAATAATTTAAATTGAAAATTTAAAGAAATTTCTTGATGAAAACCAAATTTCGGTTAAAATTAAATTAGGACTACAGGAACAGGTTCAAAAGTTGACCTGTCCTAACAAGCTAAACAAAAGTTGAGGGTAATAAAAATTGTAACCATTTTTATAGGAATAAGTGACAGGACAGATAAGATGGTTACATATTAACTTCTGGTAACTGTTATTGTTTATCCAACATGAAAAACCAATAACTATATCTCCAGCATACTGATGGATATTGTTTTTCTCATCTTGAACAAATATTGTTAGTTACTTGATGTTAACATGTTAATTTAAACTTTCAAAGAAACATCAAATTAATCGTATATTTGCGAACAATCTTAAACCATTTTGCGGAACACAAAAATAATGCCAATTAATGGAACAATTAAAACAAAAAAACCCGCACGCATGCATGCATTCCATTCATACTTACCAACGAATATGTGGTGTCACACATCAGCACCAGCACATCAATTGGACTGGTGTGATTAGCCACACAAATACCCGTAGTGGGACGATTTTCTTCATTATGATAATTGATAACAGCCGAAATGGCGCTAGACAGCACTGAGAAGCAATGCCTTAGGATATTATTGACCACATGACGTTTACGTTCTCCATCGGGCATGTAGCCAACAACAGCTGTACAAACAGTAAGCCATACTACCTAATATAATAACAGTATGAAGAGGCAGGAGGGCAAAGACATGAAAACAACACAACAAAAATAAATGAGGCACATAAGATGATGGACATATGATACACACAAAACAATGTACATAAAAACATTCGAGATTTTGGAGCAAACAAGACAGCATTTTTGAATAATAACCCCATAAAGTATATTAATATTAAACCCAGATTAACGAAGTTAACGTTTAGTTTAAAATGCTTTCTTAGAGGTGAACTATTGGCCATTTGGATGAATCAACATTGATTTTAAGCAAGCAATATTTTGGGCTTTAGTTTTAGTTAAGTTAACCAAAGGATTCTCACCAAGGAAAAGGTACAATCTGTTGATAAAATTGCCACATCTAGTGGTGATGTATGATTGGCCACACAAAAGCCAGTAGCTTTTGGTTTATATTGAATATTATGGAAATTTATAACTGCCGACAAACAGCAGACTATTAAACGGAAGGTTACTTTAAAAGCAATATCAGCAAAAAAGTGGCGCAATATTTTAAACGGTATCAAGGCCACTAAACTATTGGAACTTACAGCAAATGCCACCTATGAAAAAGAAGTCATATTTAATATTGTCATAGAAGTTACAGCAATTTAGCAGAATTCCTGCAGACCAAAGCCAAAATTATCTCTTTTTTTTTCAATATGTTTTGCTGTCGTAATGTTTGTTGTAAATTACTTTTAAAGTTATCATGTGGTTGGTATACTTACACCTATAAAACATACTAATACACGTAGTGGCATTAATATTGTATAGCGCACTATGAAACCAACCACCCAGATGAGTGTTATTTTCCAATTGATAAACTCATATTGACGATTTGTGCGTGTCAATAGATTCCAACTTTTTAATTGTTCAGCCTCAAAACGTGATGTTACTTCATCTTCGATAATAGCCTCTACACCAGCCTTAATATAGTCCAGACATCCTTCAAAATGAAAACTGATATTTTCCTGTAAAGAAAAACAATTTTGTTTTTATTAAATATTGTTTTTTTATAATTTACATGTGTTTTGTTGGCTAATAAAGTTGAAGTTATTGTTAATTAAGAAAAGATAAAATTTTAAAACAGAATTTGTACCCTTTTTTCAAGTGTTTGGGTTATAAATACGATTTATCTAATCTGTTACGTTTATCGAATATAATTGAAGAAAACAATTTTATAACAATTAATAATGAGAAATAAAAATAGTACAGGAGGTAATAGGTAATAAGAAGAGAATATTTGGTAATACTTCCTGGTAAGAAAATTAACTTTTCTAAATGCAAAATAGAAGTAAACTTCTCTGCAATAAATCAATTATGTTTTGCCTTGTAAAAACTGGAGTTGTCATCACTCGTAGGAATAATTTTGATCTATTCGTAGAATTTAATATATAAATGGGGTATGCACTATTATTTTTTAATAATACATAAATTAGACACAGGTTAAATATAAAAAAATAAAATGTTTATCATAAAATTTGCTAAAGTTGGTTGGAAAGGTAGTAAATACATCAAAGAAAACGTTTATTTTTTATAAGTTAAATACATAATAAAAACAAAAATATTTTTATTTGTGAGAACATTTTGTTGTTTTTACAAAAAAAAAAAAATGTTAAATTAAACGCGCTATCATAAATTGATAAAAAAAACACACAACAACACATATTGAAAATAGCCAAAAGTTTAAAATTTGTTAACAATTATATACGAGTATTTAAGCAATCATTGGTAGATCGTTTTTTTTTTTGTACATGTTTGTTGGTTATAACCAGGGAAACCAAAATATGCAAATGCATGTTTTTTGTGGTGCGTCGTATGGACTCATGGATAAGATATTTACACGTTTCAGACCAATTTAAGAATTTTGGCATCGATTTGTTAGAGCATATTTTTGCATATTTTACCCATAAGAGCATAATTTTGCATGATTTGACTTTTGTAGCATATTTCAGCATATTTTCGAGTTTTTAGAGCATATTTTACTCTTTTAGTGCATATTTTGAAGTTTTTCGCTTTTTTACATTTTTAATTTTCTTTTCAAAACTTTATTTAAAAAAATCAAATTTAATTTTTTTTTAATTTTTTAGCCTATTTTACAATTTTGAAAAAAAAAATATTTTCTTTGTAGAACTTGAAAACTGTAAAAAATACATTAGTCTCATGAAAACCAATGTTATATTTTTTATTCAATAAAGCATTAAATTTTAAATCGGACATAAAACCGATTACTTTGGATTTCATGACACCAATCCATTTTTATCGTTTAAAAAACTAGTATTGATAACACTGTAAGTATGTCAAAAAGACACAGAAAAACTCCGAGACACCTAAACTTAATTTTGGGTCGTAGAATCTAGTGGCTTACTCCGTTTTGAAAATTTAGGTCAAAATCGGGAGATATTGTGTTTTAAAGTATGAACTCTTTATGAGGTGATTTTTTAATTTTTGAAAAAAGTTTTCACGCATAGACATACGAACTAATTATAAAAAGCTAAATATATGTATATGCATAATTAATCCATAATTTTCTATGCGTGAAAGTTTTTTTAATTTAAATAATCAAAAAACACCTCAGAAACAGCGTAAACTTTAAAATCCAATATCTCCCGATTTTGACCTAACTTTTCAAAACGGAGTATGCCACTAGATTCTACGACCGAAAATTAAGTTCACGTGTTTCGGCGTCTTTCTGTGTGAAGCTATGAATACAACTGGAAGAAATGTGTCAAACTTTGTCGTTTGAAATATGTTTTTTGGGGACCAAATGGCTTCATGTTATTTATTGGTTATCTGAACGTAAAACAGAGTTCTATTAAACTAGATCTTCAAACTAACAGATTAATCAATTATAAAAAATCTATTAGGATGAAATATGACATTAAATATTTATTATTTCATTACAATTTCAGTCTTTTTAAGCTTTTCAATGTTAAAATATAATTTAAAATAATTATTTTTGGAGCATATTTATTAAATTTTAAGAGCATATTTTGAGTTTTTACGACATATTTAAAGCGCTTAAAACACTTTTTTAGAGCATGTTTTCGGTTTCCCTGGTTATAACATTTTATTTCTAATACCGATCAATGGTCAACCAAAATAATTATGTATTTAATACTACTAATACAACAATAATATTATTAATTTCTTGTATGTTTGTTATCATAGTTTTGATATTAAAACAATAAAAAATGAAGAACGTTAGCATGTGAATACATATAAATTGCACTAAGTGAAACCATTTGTCAATAGTTGGCAAATACTAATAATAATCGCTCAATAAATATTATAAAAAAAACAAATTGAAATTACTCATGCATTTTAAAAATGTTTAAATGTATAGAGTAGTTAGTATGTAGTTTTTTTTTTTTTTTGGCTAAATGTTATAAATCTGTTTTTGTGAATATTTTACGGTTTTTATAATTATATTTTAATAAAAAAAAAAGAGTTTTTGTTATTTTTGGGCGAATAGAGTTTTTGGAAGAAATAGTTTAAATATTTAAAAACCGTACAAACATACTACTTGTTTATCTTAGGTAAACATCAGTGTATGTAGTTACGTACATACGTATGTTAACTGAGTGTAAATTTTACACATATAATTCAAGTTTTAAATACGTACATGTGTATACTGAAATTAGTAAATCAAAGGTCAATATTATTCAATGTAAATCCATACATACATCCACATTTTAAAATAAATAACATTTATTTTAAATATAAACTTATGTACATTAGGGCGTTACGATTAAAACCTTTTTTATTATTTAATTGAACTTTATCTTTAGGTACGTTTTTGTAAAGAAGGAAAGTTTATAATAATTTGCAATTATTATTAATTATTTCTCAAGTTAACGGGAAAGAATTTATTCGAATTTATGGGATATTGGAAATAGGTTTAGCAATTATAGATGAAGAATATCGGAAAAATTGGCGGAACTATTTCCTTATTAGCTTTACTGTTTTGCTGTTTTAAGACTGTTAACAACAGCTTTTACTATGTATAGAATCTATTTTTAATATAATCACCAAAAATTATTATTTAATGTGACATGACCGTGAAATTATGCGATCGGAAAATTTAGCACCATTATGCCAAAACCATTTATCAATAATAACTAAAAATTTTGTTATTAAAATCTCTTGATAGGAAAATATTTGAACGAACCTGTGTCCAACATGCACTGTCCCCTTAAATTTACTGCCAAAATTCTGAATAGCCAATTCTGAATGACGGTCAAAAAATTCAAAATTGTTACAAAATTTCAAAAACTTCACCAAAAATCAAAATTTTTTAGAAAAACAAAATTATTACATAATTGAAAATTTTTCAAAAAAAAAAAAAAAAAAAAAAAAAAAAAAAAAAAATTATAAATTTTTAAAAATACAGAAAAGTATTTAAATTTAGTTCGCACCTAAAGACTCTTTTAGAAAATCACTACACATAAGTTCGAATAATATGAAAATTGTCATTGGTGTACATAGGGAGTACATTAATGTACATATTTGAATAAATAATAATACAGATTTGCTACATAAAAAAATATTATTGAATGAAGATCTGAATATATTCAATAACATAAAAAACAGTATTCAATTTGGCAATTTTTTTAGTTAGATCTTTTGCACTTATTTTGTTAGCAAAAAAAATTCCATTATAATTGTTCGTATGATTTGGTAGCTATTTTTTATAAACAAATATACATACATATGTACATACAAATGTACATATACATAATATACACTAGTATATCAAAGATAATCGAATAAAATTCTCAATAAATAAACAAGTTTTCTAATTAATTATTTTTTGTTTCCAACTCCACAAAAAAAATTAAACAAATGACAATTTCCCATGGTTATGGTTAAAATTTGAAAAATGTTATGCATTTTTTATATGGTCAATGTTAAAAAATAACAGATTTTGACTTTGATTTTCTAATAAGTATCCGAATTGATGATTTTGTAGTTTTGTTATCGATTAAAAGAACATACTTTCTTATCAAATGGCTAAATGTTAAAAAAAAATATTCACTTCTGACGTAACTTTTAGGTAATTGAAAAAGTTTTAAAGAAACTACCTTTGGAACCTAATATTTGTAATTATTATTCTTCAAGAATTTTCAGCTTTTGTCTTTTATCGATCGTTAAGTAGGCATTCCTGCTGTATGTTGAATTATGGTAAAGCCACCAAACATGGAATTCAATAGCACCTGTTGAGTAGTTAAAATGATCAAAGACTATGCTATTGTTTAACCCAACAAAGGGTACTTCCAATTACACACAAAGCACCATAGTACTTAGAAAGAGGGAAGTCATAATTCTAAAATTATGTTAATATTTATGTATATTGAATGATCTATTGATCTCTCTCATAATGCACATATCACCCCACACTAATGTTATCAAAACGAACAAATACCACCCACACATACATACATGTACATATATATGTATGTACACATCAAAATAGATTTGTTCTTTTAACATAACTTTATAATAATTTGAAGAAAGTAACAACACTTACATCTTTTATATTTTCTTTTAGTTTATCCTTATTGTAATTAGTATCATTTGGGGTGGGCAGCAGTACATTATCCCTGTTAATTAAGGTGTTGCCATTGGCAGATATGACATTGTCTGATTTGTTTTCATCATCATCGTCATCTACCTCTTCTTGTAGTTGTTGTATTTTACTAGTTGGACTAGATTTATCACATTTATGTTGCTTAGCATCATCATCACCATCGCCCTCTCCATGTGTTGCTAAATAAAGCTGCTTCTGTTTTAATTCTTCCAATTCTTCCCTCCTCGCGGAACCCTGACGTTCCTTGTGGGCTGTTTCTATGCTGACACGTCCATACTTTCCAAAAAAAAAAGACAAATAAACAAAAGAAACCGATATTAAAGTGAAATTAACAAATCACTACGATTAACTGACTGCATACAATGACTTGTTACTTTTGTTCGTTTAGACAGAAGACACATCTCACACAATCACTTTGTTGTTATTTACCTCGAATATCCTTAATAATAGTTGCACATAGAAGCGACGTACACCAATTGACTTGTTGATGGCCGACAAGAGTATTAAAAACACAATAAATAAACCAGAAGAAATCCAGACTGTGTCAATAATCGATATGAAAACCATTTTACAATTTGCAACTTTTCTATATTTTTTTTCTTCTGCTTTTGTGGATAAACAAATCTGACAATGACACACAACCTTCTATGGTTTTATTTTCTTGTTGTTGTTTTAGTTATTTGTCGAAATATCTTTTATTTTATTTTCACGTAACTGGTAATTATAAATTGGGAACGTATATTTAGTGCGCGTTGGCCGCTTAAATCACTGAAAGTTTTTGACTCTCATTAAAAACATCTTTTGCCTTGGAAACGTACGCTACAAATAAAATATTTTTGCTGGACCAAGTGTATTAATATAGTGGCCTTATAGGCCCAGCTGATAATTTTTTTAAACGTAAAAATTACAAAAACAACAGGCAAATTTTGACAGCAAGTTAACTTGTAAAAAAACAACAGGCAAACTTTGACAGATAATTAGATGTATAACAAAAACAATTGCCTGTGGTTATTGTAGAAACTATGTTGTACAACAAGTTTAGTCGTCATTTAAATTTATACACTTTTGTGATGCTTCTTCGTTTTGTCGAACTATTTGTCAAAATGATGACATGTGCCAGACATGGAAAATTGTGCACTATTGTACTTTTTGGTATCGAAAAATTCCAATGTATCCCCGTTTTAGTTTTATTATTTTGACATAATTTTTCTATAACCCCTTCCACTTACTTTTTAAGCGCCAAAATCGAACAAATGTGATTTTAACAACATAAAAAATAGAAAATCGAACAGAGGTCAGAATTCATAATCAGTTAGTCAAAATAAATTTCGAAATATTCAAAAACACGAAAACAAAAAACAAATAAACTAATTTGTCTAAATAAATAATAACAAATACACTTAGGTTGAAACAAAATTTATTTTGTCGACATAATAGTTGATTTTTTTTGCGACAAAAAGTCGATTTATATAACATAAGTTTTTAAGTCAAAAAAGGTGGTAACTTAAAAATAATACAACACTAAAGGACCCTTCAGACGATCACGCTTTACGTACAACAAGTCTAATGAAAAAGTAAAATGAAATTCCATCCGTATGACTAAAAAGAGAATAAAAGTCGTATGATTTATATTTTTTGTGTTTAAACCAGTCATGGGCAAACACATACCACCATGTGTATATTTGTGTGCGTTAAGCAGCAGAGAGATGACTGCACGTTATAACAAAATGGTGGTACACTGAGAAAAGTTTTGAAATTTGTTTTCTATTGCAAATACTTTTTACGACGAGAAAAACTCATGAACTTTTGGGCATTTTAAACAAAAATGGAATAAAGGGAAAGAGTTTTTCATTTAAGAAAAGTAGTAGTATTTTTAAAAAGTAGTATTAAATAAAACTACTGAAATATCATTAAGAAAATCACGACTTTCTATTCGATTTCGAACTTTTAAGGGATATTACCGAGATATTAACTGAACTTAATTTAAAGTTCAACTAATCTATCCAAATCAATGTTTCCTTTATATTCCTTAATACGCAATAAGTCACCAATGTGTTGATCGGTAACCTTTTAATTGCAACAACTTTACTTTTCTGTCATGTCCCCTAAGGTCATTTAAGGGTCCATGGCAAGTTTCATAATGCCTTTTCAAAAAAAATAAAGCTTTTCTACATATAATTTTATAACATACGACGCATTGTGCCTCACCGTCCATGTTTTCTATAAAAAAGAAATCATTTTCCCAATTTATATCAAACATTTTGCTAGGTGTAATAAAAGAGAAAAAATCATAAGCATAAAAAAATCCGCAACGTGATCTTGCTTCTACAAAAGCTGAACAGCAACTGATTTGATTTTGATCTCTGAGATCGTAACAAAGCAACAAACAAGTGGTCATTTTAGTAAAACACAGACACACTAATACACACAAGCTTATAGTGTAGGTGTGTCAACAAAGCGTCAGCAGAATTTCTTGGCCTATGCACGCGTGCATTAGAATTTCAGTTTTGCTCGTGACTGGTTTAAACGATTGGTATAAAACAATAACAAAGTAAGATGGAAACAGCTGTTTCACCTTTTTCGTATGTGTTTACATAAGAATACATCCTTGATCTAATACGACGTGCTTATTTTTTGAATCATTTTAAAAAATGATGAAAAAACTTTGTCTCAATGTGTGATGATTTCATTACATATTGTGTTTAGACGATCTCATCCGTTCTCTTCTATACAAAATTTTGACAGATCATATTACTTTTGTGCTCGTGTGAAGGGGGCTTAAGAAGGACATAGACTTGCGCCGATTCGGCTTAAACCTAAATAATCCTTGCCGCCGAACAAAATGTCAAAGTCGACGCCGCCGAAAATTTTTCAAAATTTACAGAATACCTTCGCTAAATTTACGGAATTTTACGATATAAAATAATATATTTTAATTTAAAGAAGGATTTTTAATCTAATAATTAGTGTCAGCCGCCCCCGCTAATATTTGTCGGCGCAGGGATCTGAAGAAGGTTTTTTTGAATTTGAAACGCTCGAAAATTATTATTGTATTTTAAAAAAAGTGCACCTAAATTTAATGTTCCATTAAGTAAACATTTCATTTAACAACAGTAATGAAAAATAATAAAAAATGTTGGATGGAGTTTCTGGACATATACCAGGCTTATCCCGAATTATGGTATTAAAAAGGCGACGAGAATAAAAACGAAGAATTAAAGGAATTAGCTTACAATATTTTATTACAAAAATGAAAGAACTTATATCAGAGGCAACAAGAGATTAGGTGTTGAAGAGACCGAATATATCTCGCTCCTCATACCGACGAGAAAATCGGAAGGTGAAGGATAGTATGAGGAGTGGATCGTCGCAAGGCTTTTTTACGAAAAACTTAAATTTTTGGACGATAAAGACGATGACAATGTAGTAAGTGGAAACTGATAATAAAATAAATTTTGTATTATACCTATATGAATTTCTATTGCAGATATTTGCAAAAACACCAAAGAAAAATGAAAAGGAGCCACTTGAAAATGAATTTACACAGTCTTCAGAAGATGAAGAAGTACATTTTTTTAAATATGTATGCCAAGTTGCGAAAAATAATCATTTCATAAGCCATATTTGCAGCTGATGAAGGTTTATTGGATGACAATATATTAATAAGATTTCTACAATCTTTTATATAAATACACCTTCAACATCGTCGGAAGCATTAAATTTTGAGTAAACAAATAATTACCAATTAATATTCAAGAATTTACATTTCTATCATAATTATTATAAAGAAAAATAATATTTTTCTTTATGTTAAATTAAAACTTATTATATTTTGCTTGTTATTTTTGTCTTTTCCCAATAAACCAAACGATATTATAACGATATCGAAACGATATCACTTAGGTGATAAAAAATATCATAAGTGATACTCGTTCTCGTATCGAGAACGATAGTATTTACGTACTAAATGGTACCTTTCCTTATGATATCGTTTTTCCATAAAATTATGATATCGTTTTCGCTATCATAATTTCCAAAAATAATGATAGTTAAATCGCCTTTTTCAGTTTTTTTTCTGTATGCTCTTTTATTTTTAAAATTTCATTTAAAACGCTATTTAACTTAATATTTTGCTATTATACATATAAAAAAGCCTGAAAAGGGATATATGTAACATACATCCCACCTTCTAAACTAACTAACTAGCAATAAAAATCTATTTGTTATATAAAAAAGCAGAAAATTTGCTATTTTATATAAAAAATATTTAGAAAAACAGTTATTTCTGCAAATTTTCCTTAAAATCAAACTGTCCCCAATTTGTTGCCAACTCTTTATGAAAATGGCAACCCTGTGAACCGCTAAAAAATACAACACTGTCGTTGTAGCAAACAAACATGTGCTTGAGCAAATGCTTGAGCTTTCATTGTTCATGTTTAAACGGATATATTTTTTTTGTAGCAGGGTCTTTTTGTTTCGCCTCTTTTTTGGTTACGACAACCTTAAAATCACATGTGAGTATTTTAAATAAATTTGTTGAAAAAATTAGCAAAAAATACCGGAAAATTAAAGGTGAAAATGCAAAAAAATGAAAATACACAACAAATGCCACAAAATCAATGTGTTAAATGGTGAAAATTCATTAAAGTGCAACAAGAAATTTCGGCAACAATAAAAAATGCGTGTACGGAAGAAAAAAGAAAAGCATTTTTCTTGAGCAGCCGACGACGAGCCGCAATGAGGAGACAGATTTTTTTTGTATTTTTTTTTCGCAAACATGCATGATTCAGTTGTATTCAGTGCGAATGTGAATAAAACACTTTTGAATAAATCTTTTTATTTTTTTTGCATATAATTAATACTGGCGAGGTGTGAGTTCTTTAAAAAAAAATTGGTGTGAAACAAAGAAATTGTAATTAAAACAAATTTTTGTTGTTGGCAAAATTAAGATAATAATTTGCGGAGATTAAAATTAAAGTATTGGCATGAAAAAAAGTTATTTAAAGTGTTTGGCAAACATTTTTCTTTATTAATACAGGTTTAAACAAACGATTAATTGTAAAGAAATGTATATTTTTATAATTTTACTATAAAGAGGTTATGACGTTGTCGGTCGGGTCAGTCTGTCTGTGTTGAGTTTTTTTGTTTTCAGTCTGTTTCAAGCAGAAGTCTGTATCTGTATTGTTGTTGTAGGTAGTGTTGGTGGTGTGTGTTCTGGTGGTACATTAAATTTTTTGCACTTCTATACTTATTTGAAAAAAAGCGTGTGTGCAAAAAATATTTTTTTCATTATTTTAACATTTGATTGTATTTGTATTGGTTGATTAAGAAAGAACCGAAAATGTCTCGAGAATTGTGAATAAGAAAGTTGAAAAGAATTTATAATAACAACACACTCCAGTATTAAAATATCGAGAAAGTGATAAATGAGGCGTGGCATTTTTGTCAATATTTACATTTTTTTGTTTAACTAATAATTTGTTTATATTTTATTTATGTTTTTTTTTTTATTAATTTTGTTTTTTCTTTTATTTTGCAGATATATTCCTTATTACCAGGGTCTTAACTTGAACTTTAATAAAAGTACTTTATAAAAAATGGCTGAAATTGAAGATCATCATTTCGAAACCGGAGATTCTGGTGCTTCACAAACTTATCCTATGCAATGTTCCGCATTGCGTAAAAACGGTTTTGTTATGCTCAAGGGTAGACCCTGTAAGATTGTTGAAATGTCAACTTCCAAAACTGGCAAGCACGGTCACGCTAAAGTTCACATGGTTGGCATTGATATTTTCTCAAATAAGAAGTAAGTTGACACAATAACACTTACTAATAGCAATAAATCCATATTTTAAACTTGGTCAAGTTAGAAGATATGACTCATTCATTTTTTTTTTTTGTTTTGTTTAATACATATGTATATAACCTTGATTGTTATGTTTGATAATTTTTATTAGAGGACATTCTACCTATATATCATCGTATGTTTAGGAAAAATTAATACCTATAGTAAATTTTTAAACATATTTTTCTTTGTTTATAGTGTTTTTGATCTCATTAAATTTAGGTTATCTACATATTTTAAAAATAATAAGAATAGTATATTTACGTTTTTGACCTCAATCTTTAGAATTAAAAATAAGTAAAAATTCTATACACTGGATACTAGTCAATAGTTAAGTCCATAGCATAGCTTATAGTCCATAGACAAGTAGATTAACTAGTCTAAGGACTGGACAAAAGACAAATCTATAGGTAGGCTAGTCAAAAGAATAGACCATAGTCTAGTCCATAGACTACGAAATGACTAATACATAGACTAGTCGACAGATAAAAGAATAGGTAGCTTAACTAAACTTTTTATCACAGATTGACATTTAATAAGCTTTTATTTTACACTTTTCTTATTTTTCTATTTTCCTTTACAGATATGAAGATATCTGTCCATCTACTCACAACATGGATGTTCCCCATGTAAAGAGAGAAGATTACCAATTGACCGACATCAGTGATGACGGTTACTTGACCTTGATGTCTGATAACGGTGACATCAGAGAAGATCTTAAATTGCCAGAAGGTGATTTGGGTATTTCTTTGAGAAACGATTTCGATAACGGCAAAGAACTTTTGGTAAGTCTCCTTTAATTACCCCCAATATAACTGCTTTAATATTTTTGCTTAATAAATATTAATTCCTTTTCTCTTTCTCCTTACAGTGTACAGTCCTCAAGTCTTGCGGCGAAGAATGCGTTATTGCTACTAAGACTAATACTGCTCTTGACAAGTAGAGTGGTTTTAGTGTGTCTTAAGAAGAGTTCTTTTTTTACCAATAATAAAAAAAATTAAAAATAATAAAAAATATGTTGTGTTTTTACCATCTATAACAACAACAGCTATAACAAAATAACAAACAAAAACAACATTATTCAAATTAGAAGATTGAAGTAATAGAAAAAGGACTTGTTAAAATAATAAAACAAAAACAAACTCTAGTTGCTGCAAATTTCTTTTGCATTTAAATGTAAACAAACAAAATAATAATAACAAAACATACAATTTGAAGTATATTTTTAAAATAGTATGTTTTTATAATAATAACTTTATAATATAATATGTTTATCATATGTAATATAAAGGAGTTGTCTTCATCTTTATAGTTTTTTTCCAAAACACTTCAGCACCAACCAAACAACTATTATTATAATAATAAAAGTCGTCGTTGTTGTCTAATTATTCCAACTTATTATTTTTTATACTTATATCCTAAAAAGCAAGAAAAAAACAAAAATTTACTTCGCCAAGAATTTATTTTAATAAAAAGAAGAAAAAATAAAACCAAAACTCTCAATATTTAAATGCAAAACAAACAACGTCAACCAACTAGGTGTAATAAATGAAAATTGAATAGACCTTAAAGAAAGTAATAAAAGTAGTAAAGAAGGAGAAGCGTGTTAAACACACATACTCCAAACAAAATAAAAAGAAGAAAACCTACAAATAAAGATGAAAAACTTTAATTAAACAAAATTTTTGCCAATAAAAATTTTATACTTTAATAAAAAAAAAAAAACGAAGAAAAATTTAAACAATTTTCAAACTAGATTTTTTTATTTTTTCCCCTTATTTTTCGTTTTTTTTTTTACAAAATTCTTCCCACATTTAGTTTTTAAGTATTTTTTCAAACATACAATTCCGCTTTTACACCTTCATATAATTAATTTTTCTTTACAAATTGTGGCAGCTTAAATAAGAAAAACAAAAATGCTTTGATATTTTATTAATCTGAATTTAAAAATATTACTACTGTATCTTATAAAAAAAGAAATGAAATCAAAGAACTTTAAACATAATGAACAAAAAAAATCTTGTAATCATCCACTTAAAGATGCCTAAAAACGAATGAAACAAAAAATATACTTAAGAAAATCTTAATATGTTTATCAATTAAAACAGAGGAAGAATGGATGAGGATGGGTCTGAAATAATAGGGTTTTGTATTAACAAGTGCGAATATGTGTGCTTGCTAGAGAGAGAGAGCGAGAGGAAAGTTATCTCAAGGTTAATTTTTGTTTAAAGGTCATTGACTTTTGTCAATAACAACAACAGCAGTGTCTCTTGTTTTTTTTTTATTCGCATGCTTACAATTTGTCCACCAGGTGGTGGTTTTCTACTATTATTCCCTATTGGTATTTTAAATCTTACTACTCGCACTGTGTGTATAATAATCGATGGAATTTTATTTTCTTCAGTTATTTGAAATTCATTTAAAAAACTCTTTAACTTGTTAACAGATTTGGCTTTAGAATTTTTTTCATCACATCATGTTTTCGAGATATCGTGCTCTAAATAGAGACGTTATTACAGCGGGAAGATTCATTTATTTATTAAAATGTGTTATGTTATCTGAAAGTTCAATCTGTTCGAGTTTAAGGCACAATATCTCGAAAACTTGGTTTGATGAAGAAGTTTAGAAATGAATGAATGGACATTTATTCCGAAGAAATAGAGTAAATTTTGTTTAATTTCGATACTGAAATGTGTTTTCGAGATTACAGCTTGTTCGACATTACTGTAAAAACTTAAAAATATAGTTCTGTATAAGGTCGGGCGGTTAGGCAGACATTAAATCGACTTTGGTTATACAAAATTCGAGTTCGAATACAGAAAAACTTAATTTTGATTTGAGCATTGTATAATAAAATACTGGAACAAATGTATTTTCGAATAGTAAAACTATAATAAGCTTTAATTCTAACAACATAAAATATGAAAAGTTTGGCAACTCTATTTGCAAGCATTTCATAACATAGTTGTATTTTTAATGTCGTGACAATGACATAAATATGTTATGACAATTTTATAGTTGAATCGAATGTTTTCTTCAGATTTGCTATTAATGTATCTTAAAATCGACTTTCGCATTTATTTAAAAAATATTTCATTATATTATGTTTGTTGGGTCAAAATAATCGATTTTTTCATCTTTTAGTTTTTAAAATATTTTATTCGAAAATATTTGTCTTTTTCACCTTTTACTTTAAAAATATTTTTATTATAATTATATGATTAAAACGAAAAGTCGACTTTTTAATTTTTTTTAATATCGACTTTTTGACTTTGTTAACTTTTTGAGTTACTTTTCAATATTTATGTTAAAAATATGTTGTTTCCATAGTTACAAATGAAAAAACGTTTGATTTTAAAATTTTGCAATAAAGATATGAATATTATTGAATTGCTTTGATTTTTGACTGATGTTGAAAACAAATACATAGTGTAATTTTTTGACAAAAAGTCTTTTTTTCGAAAGTCTATTTTTAGAATACTATTTTGTAGTGGTTTGTTTACAAATATTATATTTCATAAAAATATTTTTATAAATTTTCTATAGTTTTTGTTGCTTTTAGCCATTTTTTAATATTTTTCTAAAACCATAACGAATAGACCTTTTCTAAACAAAATTCTGGTATGTATTTAAATAAATACCAGAAGCAACATAAAATTATATTTTACATATGTGGCAATATTGTTTATTTTATCAACTCTAAAATAAATGCTACCTGATGTTTAAACAAACAGGCGTTGATATGGCAACATCTAACAAAAATGGTTTAGTTGTCACAAATTAAGTTATTTATAAAAATAAAGGTTTTGCCACAAAATCTGTTTTAATTAACTAAAACCAAGCAAATATAAAGCTTAAATATTACGCTGACGTGAAGCAATAAGAAGCTGTAATAGTAATATAGCAAAAATTATATTTTAATAAACACAGGGTAAGTAAATACTGTTGCTTGCTTTCTCCAAGCAAGTACATATCTAACTTACGCGCTAATTGACATAAATTAGTATTTTCGTCTTTTTTTAGAAGGAAATAAAATTGTAATTTTCTTGATTCAGAAAACAACATGAAAAAAGTTGCACGTATGCGTTTGTCTCCCAACAACATGAATGAGGAAGTAAGCAATAATCACAATACTGCGGGACAAAGTTCACATAATGAACCCTTAGTACGTACGACAGGACGTATTAAGAAACCCAAAGCAGTATTTGATCCCTCAGACAACTACTTGCCACGCGCTCAACGTTCACTGAATGCAGGAGCTTTGCATCATAATACGACATCTTCGTTGGAAAGGCGTGCCAGTTATACAAAGGCCTCGACTGTATCGCCGATCGCGGACCATATTGAAGCTAAAGCTAAAGATGCTTGTACTGTTTGCAAGAAAAAGGAATCGAAGCGTCCCGTATTTGCCAATAAAAATCCCCTAATAACTTGTCAGGAGTGTCAGCGTAAAATACATAAACTCTGTTTAAAGGTTGATTTCGAAGACTTTGAAAGCATTCAACGTAACTACAAATGTGATCTTTGCTGTAACTGTAGAATATGCAATGATAAATTTACTAATCCCGAAGAGGAAATGATCACTTGCTCGAAATGTACGAAATCTTTTCATCTGGTTTGCTTCCCCTCCAAGATTGTAAAAACTGATATTCAGCGCAATTGGAAGTGTAACAAGTGTCAGGTCTACAATCACATTACTAATGGCACCACTCTACCAGTTAAGAAAATACGTGAAATTATAGGAGGGGGAGAACCAATGGTGCAAACAACTTCTGCTAAATCGGCCAGTGCTGCAAATGAGAAAACTTCTGCTGTTGAATCAACCAGTAACGAGGCAATACCAAGTTCTACTTCTCCTTCATCGCAAAAAAGATTAAATGATTCAAAAGAAGTAGCAGAAACAGTTGAGTCCAGCCCTCCGCCGGAAAAACGTGCCAAGGTTACGACTCAGTCTCCCGATACCATTAGTGTGGAAACCACTTCACTAAATACGCCTTTAAAAACAGATTCTACGGTGCTTTGTTATACGCCCAATGAAAATTTCGATGATATTCCTGATGTGAAGGAATGGTCTGTCGATCAGGTGTATGAATATTTTTTCAAACACTTTCCCAATGAAGCTCACGTGTTTAAGGACGAAGAAATTGATGGCCGTTCTTTGCTTTTGTTGAAACGCAGCGATGTTGTTAAAAAACTCCCCATCAAGTTGGGACCATCTTTACGTATTTATAGTCTCATTTTAAAGATACAGGCTCAATTAAATGATCCCACCTTGGGTTGGAATTGTGGTTTATAAATGATTTTTTTTTTTTTGAAATGGTAAATCTACTGGGTAGATTAACATTTTTTCGTATTTTTCTTTACAATTTTTTTCTTTCATACATAATCATATTATTATTAACATTAGTTATAAGTTTTCTTTTAAACCATTTAAATATTTTCATCATTTAATTTCTTAAAAAGAAGAAAAAAACATTTTCTATACTTTGGATTCTACATTATTCGTTTAATGTAAATTTAGTAATAATGACATTTCATTAATTTTTATTTTATTTCTTTAAAACACTCGTACAAATTATTATTGAATTTTTATTTTAGTTTATATTTTGAATATATTAATTTCTATTAAAATATGTTTATTTAAACATTTTTCTTTAACAATGTAGTTTGTTATCTTTAAAATTGTACTTTTTTTCTATTACAAATATTTAAAATAAATATTAGAATTAAAAATCAATTGCTAGAAAATTTATTTTAAGTAAGCAGAGGTATCGACAAATTTTTATTTTGAAATGGATGGAGCCTTACGAAAAAAGTATTAAGAATTGATGAGTAAATAGAATAGGATTTGGGTAATAAGCTTTGATAAAGAGTATAGCTGAAGATTGTCAGAATGTCATTTATAGAAATCTTCCAAAATCATAATGTACTAAATCTTCTCAAATCATTATCTACAAGTCAGTAAATAGTTCATAGCCTATGAGAATTTGTATACTGTTAATGAATATGTTGGCGTCTTTACCCACTGTATTTTAGTTTCGGAGTTAAGGGATTTTAAGGTTAAAATTTTTACATATAAAACGGTAACCCTTAAAATGTCGATATGCAAAAAAATAGCAACCTGGTATTGGATACTCCCCGGAATAGAAAGTCTTTAAGTGCGGTCGAAAGCTCGCTGATACCTTTCTCAAATGGCTGCCTTTTATCGGTGATAACTTTCTTTGTTAATTATTCTAAAATACCTATGTACGAATTCAGTAATTTGTTAGAAGAAGAAATCTGTTTAGAATAGCTATTGCTAATATGTATGTATAACCGCTATCTTTAAACACTTATTTAAAACCCTTTTAATTTATTGAAAAAAAAAATGTCTTATTTAGCAACACTGGTCACTGTTTACATTCAACAACATTAACCCGTTTAAAACAACTGTCACGATTTTGTGTATTGATATTTTAACCCTACTATCTACATACATACACAAAACGTAACAAAAAAGTACCACTCGCTTTCTATAAAAACTTAAAGAAAGAATTTATGATGAGTTTTACCATTGACGATTCTATATTGGCCAATATAAAAACACAACAAGATAGCGATGATGATGATGATGATGCTGGCACCTCATCCGACCATCGTCTAGCTGGTGAGACATTTATGGAGGTAATGGGCGGTTTTGGTGGAAATATTAGTGATGCCAATGTCAGCTATGAAGAACGTATCGAAGATCCCCTACAGGAGGAGGATGAAAAAGAAATTGAATTGAAAGAATTTCCTTGGCAATGTATAGAGAATGATTTTCTAAAACCTTATCTGTACGATGAACAGGAAACGCCGCAGTTGGAAGTTAAAGTAGGACGTAGTAAAAAAGCAAAATTGGAAGCGGAATTAAGAGCGCCCAGTGGTCAAGTATGGAGTAAAGTGCCTTTGGCACCGCCAATAGCTGATGATTTGCCAGAGTTTATGGCTGTAGGTAAGGGCCCGGCTAAAAGTGTTACAAATCCTTTGGAGGCCTGGCATTTATTGATAGATGTGTCCATGCTAAATATAATTGTGAAAAGCACGAATGAGATTATTAAGTCCACCAAAAAGAAAGAGCCCCATCAGAAAAGATTGACAGATTTAACGGAATTACGCGCCTGGTTGGGTTTAAATTATTTGTGCGGCGTTTTGCGTAATTCCATACAACCCGGACCAGTTGAAGAGCTTTGGACTTTGGAACTAGGTAATGCTATATTTCGTGCCACCATGTCCTTTAAACGTTTTGAGTTTTTGTCCCAATGTATACGTTGTGCTGATCAGCAGTCTTTGGCTGCTGCACCGACAGCCTTAGATGAAATTGCCAACTTTTGGGAAAAGTTGGTTATAAATTGTAGATCTTACTATGCTCCCAGTGGTTTCTGCACGATTGATGAGCACATATTGGACTTGTCGCAATTAGAAGAAAATCCCTTTAATCATGTTTTACCTCAGCAATTGGGATCAATTGGTTTGCGCTTGATTACCATGTGTGATGCCAAAACCATGTATATTTGCAATGCTTTGGTAGCAAATGAGGTGCAACCACTAGATGAAGAAGTATATCAATTAGTTAGTGACATAAAGGGCACACGACGTTGTCTTTGTTTAAATGATCGTTTTACAAATATGTCTTTAATGCAAAAGCTAAAACAAAATCAACTGCAAGTGGTGGGAGCACTTTCCGCACAAGCTAAGGAGATACCCGTTGAATTGTATAATGCTTCCCAAGTGCCTCATGTATGGTATGCCAAAGATGATTGTACTTTGGTAGCGGGTTTGAGTGATACAGTCAGTCCCTCGGGTTATTTAGTAACTAATGGTCTTTCTGCACGTATCGATTCAGCTAAACTGTACCAGACTATAGGTGCCACTAATCAAAATGCTTATCAGTTTATGCGCATATTTGGTACACATAATGGAGGTGTGAATAAAAACCAACGTTGGAGTTTGGAATATCTGTTTTTCATGCTAGATGTGGCGGCATATAATGCCTGGACTTTATACCGTCTTTCGGAGAATGGTGATGCTGGCATAGAACAACGTGATTTTCAACGTCAACTGGGACTCTACCTAACTCAACATCAACTTAAACAGCGCATACATTTGAATATTAAACTTCCTCTGCCGCTTAAGTTGCAGATTGCCGAGATATTAGGGGAAAGTGTGGAGGCTTTGCTAAATGGTGCCTCCAAAAAAGCTACTGAAGCTGCAAAACTGGGCTCAATATCGAAAGAAAAGGCATTAGTACCCGATGGCATAGTATTGCAATCACGTGAAAACGATACTCGCAGACGTTGCAGAGGCTGCAAAAGCCGCAATGGTTCCAAGACAAAAACACGTTGCCAACAATGCTTGCAGCCGTACTGCATGCGTCATCTAATAAGTCGCTGTGAATCCTGCTCGGGTTATGAAATACTGGACGAATCATCACAGCAGGACGATAAAAATGAACAAACGAAACAGCAGCAGAAAGATCAAGAAGATACCTCTCAACTAGAGGACGATGAAGGCCAAGCTGATGAAGTTGATCTTTAGAGAGGGAGAAATTAATTGTAATTTGTTTAGTAGATAAAAAAGTTTTAAACTTATACATAGTAGAGCAAGGGATATTATTTTCGATTAAAACTATATAATTTAAATAAACTTGCATTTTTTTTATTTAATAATTTTATGGGATTTAATAATAAAACATTGCTTCAACGTCAGTAATAATAATTCATTCTAACTATTAAAACACAACGTAACAGTTTACAATAAATTTTGTGCTTACACGTATTAATTAAATGATTGATTGATTGTTTTACCCAAAGTATAATGTATTACCCATTATAGGAATATGATTTACTACTCTTCATAACGACTAGATCTAATTTAAAAAATGTTCGTAAACCATTTGCTCCTTTAAAAAAACTTAAGAATCAAAAACTTATGGATGGTGCCGTAAAAAGTTGTTAAAAATAATTCTAACTTCCATAATGAATCCTTAAAATTTATACTGAAATTCTTTTTGTGATTTCTGAGCAGGTTTATTACGCACAACTGGGCCATTGCCACAGTCTTTGTTGTCGTCATTTTGATTGAGAAACAAACTGAGGAACTGTTCATTTTGTACTTCATTTAATGGCATTTCCAATTCACTGCATGACTTGATTATTTCAGCACATGCACGTAAATCTTTCCGATTATCTGTAATGGATTGAAAAAATGTTTTATTAAAAATTATTGTAGAAAAACATTGTTAATTAATTACATTGATAGTTGAATAATAAACTGAGACAGTTAGAGCAAGCATCACGTTGTTTATATTGTAAAAATACTTCAATAAGACGATGGACCGCATCTACATTATTGCGACTAAGAAAAGAGGCGCACAAGGAACTGGATCTAAAAGGAAAATTGGATATTAAATATTTTAATTGATCTACATACATATTTCTATTTTTATTATTTTAAACAATAATATAGTCTAGTTCATTTCTAATTCAGTTCTAGTTTTGTTATATTTCAGTTTTTGTTTAGTATTAGTTTAGTTAAGTTCTAATTTATTTTTTGTTCAGTTCTAGTTCAGTTTTAGTTCAGTTCATTTCAAATGTATCCTATTGTTCCAGAATCACAATCATTTACCTTTTTGCCACCAACTGCTGTAATTCCTCATAATGTTCAAACAAATCTGCTGCCGATTTTTGATCACAAAACCAATCACTTACAAAACATTGCTTCCACACACAAGCCACAACGAAAATGTCCTTGTGAGTGTTGTATATAGATCTAGCCACTTCCATTAACGACACTAAAACTGCTTCACTTTTCTGCGCCAAAGTTTCCTCGGCTATGGTTCGAAAAGCCGCTCTCATCATTCGCTTGCCATCTTCGGTAACAGCCCCGGACTCGTAGCCACGATGTAGAGTCATCAGAGCAATATCGGCACCACCACTCCGCCACAAAGCCATAGCTTTAAATGGTGCCAAATCTGCGTAAATTTTCGATAATGGATGGCTTTGCTTTTTGCAAATCTCAGCAAATGATTCGATTTGTTGGATACGTGACAAACTCGAAAGATACTTGAGACACGATATCAACACTTCGTTGGAGGGCAATTGTTGCCAACGAATACATTGACGCACCAAATATAAAAAATCCACTTTGTTTTTTATTTCCAAAGTGGACATGAGCAAATTGTCAAGTTGAGCTTGTGATAAAGAACGTATATCGAGACCCAGTTCGGGCGAACGTATAGCATGTAGATCATTAATAACAGCCTTGGACATTAGACCTAAACTTTGAGCAAAGCTGCTGGTTGTGCTTACTGGTGCCTTTGTTTGGGTTTGTTGTTGACTAGCGGTTAAAGTTGGTTCACCACCGACCTCCTTCTTTTTCATTAAACTTTCTCTTAACTCTTCCCACTTTTTGCTTTTACGCTCCACCAGTTCATTGGTGAAACTATCGATGGCATCGACTTGTGTAGACTTTCGTTGAACATTAGTAGATCGGCCGCTAGACTGCAAAGCTGGCCATAGAAAAGCTACACAGTTTTGGAAACGTTGCAATGCTTTTGGTGAACCTGGAGCTGCCACAGCAGCAGTGGTTGCTCCACTACTTGTTAAACGGGTAAGCATTGCCATTGTTGTCGTTAATTCTTTGGTTGTTAGTTAAATTTATACACCTCCACTCCTCGATCACTGTTTCTATTGCCAATTACAGTTTTTAACACATATTATATCAAAATTTTCCACTACAAAGGATCTAAACGAAAAATAACAATTATCTGTTTTTGTCGAATGTGGTAATCACCACAATCGATAAAAAAACTAATATGAAAAGAATGTCAAAAAATGAAAGAAATTAGAAAATAACACAACAAAGTGAAATAAATAAAAAACAAACTGCGTGGTTGCCAGATTTTTGTTATAAACGTCGGCAATACAGTGTCATCAATAAATTATTTATTATTGTCGATAACACAGGTTTAGTCGTTATTTTTATTTTTATTTTCACTTCCTCACAGACAACAAACAACATATCATGGTAACAAACCAACGAGCTTTGTGTAGCAAATGGAATCAGGTATACATACCAAGTAATGACTAGCAGTAGTATCAATAAGCACGATGCTAAAAACGATAAAATAGTGGACAAATTTCTTCCCTTGTGGAAAGTACTAATAAAAAGCGTACTATTTGCCCTTCATCGTTTAGGAACCAACTTTTTCGAGGATTAAGTTTGTAAAACACTCCATGTTCAGCCGTTTGGATTGTGCGATGTTGAATCAGTAAGTCAGTAACACGACTCTTTTATATAGTATATAGAGAAGTATGTATATTAGGGTAGCCCCAAAATGTAAATTAGTGAAAACATCACCTAAAATGAAAATTTAGTTCATACTATGATAACATTTTTCTTAGAATCAATTAAACCCTAATGTACATATATGTATATTGTACATATACATATATGTAGATGAACATGCATATATGAATAAATGTCATTGTAATAATTGAGTTTCAAATATTGACATCTTATACTGCGTTTTTGTTGTTTATATTACCAAATAGCTAATAAAACAAAAATTTTTTTCTGGAAAATAATATCAGGGAAAAACAAGTAAGTAATTATAGTCGGGCGTGGCCGACCATATGATACCCTACACCATTTATGTTATTTATTTATTTTTCATAATAAAGCATTTACCCAGCAAAAAATCTGAAATTTTTGGTAATAGCCAGTAGTTATTTCATACATTACTTGGTAATGAGTGTTCATTATCATCCACATTATTTCATTTAGCTGAATAGGTTATTACTGGTAAAGAACAAAACAATTTGGATTTGTTATGGCTCAATTGTCTAGGTCGTTTATTTAACAAACAGGGGGTTCGTGGTTCGAGCCCTGCTGGATACTGTTTATTTTTTTTCAAAATGACATTCATTTATATATTTTTGTAAAATGCCGTTCTCAAAATCACAAAAAGCAACATGTTAATGGAGCATCGAGTAAGCGGCTGGAGTGAGAAACACAGAAAGCAACTGAATGCCTGGGTTCAAATCCCGGCCGAGAATTTTTTTTATTTTTTGTTTTCTACATACAAAGTCGGCCCAAAATAACTAGCTATCACATAACATATTTGTAGGTTTATTTGTAACTAGTTATTTCGCAAAGTTTTTGTAATCAAATTAGTAACCATTTATTAATTTGTTTAAGGTAGGTACATATTATTTGAACCTCGTCGAACAAAAATAATTAGTTATTCACCCCAAAAGTAATTAGTTTCCACGTGATTCCAATATTACTTTCTAGATTACTAGGTAATGAACATTTTTGCTGGGTATCTTCAATATTCCCTTGTTCCGATACATTTTATGGATGAAAAACTAATTTTCTGAAAGAGGCTTTATATGGGGGCTAGGGGCAAATATGGACCAAGCCCGATAAAATTTTGTGAATATATTTATATTGACATAATATTTTATTGTGCTGAATTTCATCGCGATATTTGTGTTTATAAGCTAATTTGGGACATTCAAGTAATTTTCTGAAGGTGACTTTGTATGGGAGCTAGGGTCAAATGTGGCCCGATCTTTATGAAATTTGGCAGGGTCATCAAGACTTCTATAAAACTTAGTTGTGCCGCATTTTATCGATATATCTGTATATTTAACATAATTATGAGCTCAGAAGCCCTTTTCGGGGGGTTCTGTTGTATTGGGGCTATGTGAAATAATGGACCGATTTTAATCATTTTCAATAGGCTTCGTCCTTAGGTCAAATAAAACGTGCGTGCCAAATTTCATACAATTATCTTGAAAATTGCGACCTGTACCTTGCGCACAAGGTTTACATGGACAGCCAGACGGACGGACGGACGGGCGGACGGACGGACATAGCTTAATCGACTCAGAAAACGATTCTAAGCCGATTGGTATACTTTAAGGTGGGTCTAGGACGAATATTTTTGTATGTTACAAACATCAGCACAAATCCAATATACCCTCCCCACTAAAGTGGTGTAGGGTATAAATATGTATATTATTTAGTAATTCCACCATATTGGATACAAAAAGTCAATGAGTCGTCATATAATAAGGTGTCATATTAGTTAAAATGTAAAAATTGTGTAAATTTTTGGATAAGTTCATGAAATACACGTAAAATATTAAAAACGTTATGTGAAAAGACAAAATTGAAATTTGACATAAATAAGGGATATTAATATTTCATAATATGTTTGTAGTATAAAGGAGAATGAGTATGAAGTAATAACAGATATGTTGATAGATATTGTTACGAAATTCAAATACATACATAGTTTCAATTTAAAAGTAAACGATTTATAACTCAATTTTTCTATTCTGAAGCCTTCTGATTGTTCTAAATGAAAATCTTCAAAATGCAACTTTTATATCACTTAAACTTATATGAAACATAAAATTCCATCCTTTTGCTTTAATAAATATTTTTACCAAATTAATAATATGTATTTTATTTAACTCCCATATAATTTTAACTAAGCAAATTAAAATCGGATTAAAGTTAATACCTCTTTAATTCAAAAACTGTATGAAAAACTTACACTAAGTTACAATACGACAAATTTCAAGCATTAAAAGGGGAAAATATTTTAACAAAGATTTATTAAAATTCCTTCATTGTGTATTCCACAAACATGCATAATGTTTATTTTACTAGCAGCAGGTAATACTCTATGTACAGATACAGTAGTGTGCAAAACGAAACAAACAAATAATTGTATATATTAAATAATTGTTAAAAACTTTTTATAGTTACTGCATATTGACAAATCTCAGATGAAATCTTATTTTTCAATTCTCTTAAAATAATTTATCTGTATGTTAATGTTTTCTTTTGCTCTTTACTGTAACTGGTGGTTGAGAAAAATAAAACTAAACATATGAACGGAACGACGAACAAAGCATAAAGGAATAGTTTTAGTTAACAAGTATTGCACTTTTATAACAAGCGGTTGTTAATGCTGTCATCTTTGTTGTGGTTATTTTGTTATATGCGTGTGTATGAGTGAGGATACGTAAACTAGCTGGATGGATGACTGACCGGCCATCATATCACAACGATGTGTCATATTTTCCGTACTACCCCTCTCTCTCTGGACAATCTTGATAAAAATATGTATGCTAGTCAAGTTTTTTCAGGAAAATAAAAATAGAAGAATTATATAGAAACAATGTTATGCGCATAATTTAAGCGCAACCATTCATAGTTGTTGTAATTTTTACTGATGACAGCACTGTTTTTGTTGTCCTTGCTGCTTTAAATGCATCCTTTTTCAAAAGTGTCATTCTTCTTTCTTTTTTACCTGCATTGTTGATATAATAAAATCTATAAAAATAAATATAATAAAAAGGAGAGCATACAACGAATGATCAAAGAGCTATTTATGAGTGACCGAAGTGGCAATCGGTGACCTTTTCTAATGATAAAAATTCATATTTTAAGTCAGTACCCAACTGAATATCAGCTGCATCTGGTAGGTTAATCTCTATTGTCTAAGCTGAAGGGATCGGAGCTCGCGGGTTCGATGACCTCCAGACGTACTGGACACTAAACTAACTAACTAACTAACTACCTAACTAACTAACTAACTACTAACTAACTAACTAACTAACTAACTAACTAACTAACTAACTAACTAACTAACTAACTAACTAACTAACTAACTACTAACTAACTAACTAACTAACTAACTAACTAACTAACTAACTAACTAACTAACTAACTACTAACTAACTAACTAACTACTAACTAACTAACTAACTAACTAACTAACTACTAACTAACTAACTAACTACTAACTAACTAACTAACTAACTAACTAACTAACTAACTAACTAACTACTAACGAACTAACTACTAACTAACTAACTAACTAACTAACTAACTAACTAACTAACTAACTAACTAACTAACTAACTAACTAACTAACTAACTACTAACTAACTAACTAACTAACTAACTAACTAACTAACTAACTAACTAACTAACTAACTAACTAACTAACTAACTAACTAACTAACTAACTAACTAACTAACTAACTAACTAACTAACTAACTAACTAACTAACTAACTAACTAACTAACTAACTAACTAACTACTACTAACTAACTAACTAACTACTAACTAACTAACTAACTAACTAACTAACTAACTAACTAACTAACTAACTAACTAACTAACTAACTAACTAACTAACTAACTACTAACTAACTAACTACTAACTAACTAACTAACTAACTAACTAACTAACTAACTAACTAACTAACTAACTAACTAACTAACTAACTACTAACTAACTAACTAACTAACTAACTACTAACTAACTAACTAACTAACTAACTAACTAACTAACTAACTAACTAACTAACTAACTAACTAACTAACTAACTAACTAACTACTAACTAACTAACTAACTACTAACTAACTAACTAACTAACTAACTACTAACTAACTAACTAACTACTAACTAACTAACTAACTAACTAACTAACTAACTAACTAACTAACTAACTAACTAACTAACTAACTAACTAACTAACTAACTAACTAACTAACTAACTAACTAACTAACTAACTAACTAACTAACTAACTAACTAACTAACTACTAACTAACTAACTAACTACTAACTAACTAACTACTAACTAACTAACTAACTAACTACTAACTAACTAACTAACTAACTACTACTAACTAACTAACTAACTAACTAACTAACTACTAACTAACTAACTAACTAACTACTAACTAACTAACTAACTAACTACTAACTAACTAACTAACTAAC